TTGTTACCTGCCCCCAAATCACCCAGCAGGCACCTGGGAAGCCAGGATTCAAACCCAGGCCTGGGTTTATGGCACACTGAAGAAGTCTTGGGAGGGAAAGAGGGGGCAAGGGCAGCTGGGGCTACCCACAGCATGTTCCAGTTCATTCCAGAACATCCCAGGAGGACTTTCCCCATTCTGAGGAGAAGGGGTGCAACTCGCAAACCTGGGTGAGAGGCTACGGCCAGTATGTGAAATACTTTGGGAGGAAGCCCTGGACTAGCTCTACTCTGAGACTCCCTCCCGGGGTCCCCAAGGGCAGGAGAGAATTCATGCCAGAGACTGCAGCAGCCCATGACTGGTTGTGCCCATGAAACTGCTGGGGTCCTCTGAGTTCCCCATCTCTTAGGCCAGCAGCCACAAGCTCTGCCACAGATAGGCAGGCCATCCATCAGAAGGCTCCTGAGCTGAGCGCGCCAGGGATCTCTGCAAGCTCCAGCATCTGTTCCACCCAGACTCGTCCACATCCTGTGGTGTCTGTTGCGCTGCTCTGGAGTCAGCTGGTTTAGTTACCAGGTGGAGGCACTTCCGGAGCAAGCAGAAACACTTTGCAGCCGGACAGAGGAGGGTGGCTCACTTTTCTATAAGTAAGTTCAAAGACACAAGCACGGACAAGAAGGGACTCAATGTGAGGTGAGCTCTTCAAAGGCAGGGGCTGTCTTGCTGTCCTCCAGGGGTGCCCCGTCAACATGAAACCCAGTCTCTGGGCACACAATGCCGCAAAAGCTGTTTGGACTTGTCTGGTGCTCAGAACCTTGACGGGAACCTTGAGGGCATTTGCTGACTGCTTGGTGGTTAAATGTCTGTAAGTGGGGGCGCGTGTTTTGTTTTCTGATAGTCATCTTTTCTGCGTTCTCCTCTCCATCACACCAACCCCTGAGCCTCCAGCAGGTTCATTGCCCCCCCCACCCCCCATCATCCAGTCCCCACCAGATGCTGCTCAGCTTTGCCTAGCATTGTTCTCCCCACCTCAGGCCAGCCCCCAAGGAATCACATGGCAACCCCATGGGGCTAATTTCTCAGTAGCTTTATTGAGTAGCGAGATGAGGCATCATCTCCTGCAGGACACGTGTCCTCAAACTGGTACAAGGAGTGCTTAGGGACAGACTGACAGACAGGTGGTGGGGCAGGGCAGGTGTCTGCTGCTGTGATGGGTCGGGGGCACCAGGGACAGCTCAGCTCTCCAGGGGGTTGGGTTGCATCTGCTCCGGGACCTGCTCCGGGACCTGCTCGGGGACGGGGAGGGCCAGGGGCTGGTCTGGGCTCCCCTTCTTCCCCAGGGTGCCCATAAAGGAGCTGACCTTTTCCCTCAGGTTCTTCTCCAGGAAGCTCAAGTGGCCTTGCACGTCCCCCGAACTGGAACCCAACTGCTGCCTGAACTGCTCCATCTGCTGAACCAGAGCCTTGTTGAACATCTCCCCCAAGGGCTCCACGGTGCGCCGGAACTCCTCCACCTGCTGGTCCAGCTGGCTGTTCAGGTCTTCCAGCGACTTCTGCAGGCCCTCGGTGTTGCCCTTCAGCTTGCTCTGCACATCTTCCACCAGCGGGGCCAGTTTCTTCTGCAGCTGGTCGACGTTGGCGGAGACCTTGGTCTGGAGCTCCTCGGCGTTCTTCTTCATCTGGAAGGCCAGGCCCTCCAGCTGGTGGTTGAGTTTCTCCTGCATGCCCTCGGCGAGGGGGGCCAGGTTGCTGCGCAGCTCCTCCAGGTTCCTGTCGATCGTGGCCTTCAGCTCACTGGCATGGGGGTTTAGGCGCCCCTTGAGCTCTTCCACGTTCCGGTCAAACTTCTCCTTGAACTCGTTGGCTAAGGGCACCATCGAGGCCTGCAGGTTGTCCACATTCTCCTGCAGTGTGGTCTGCACGCGCTGGACGTAGGGGGTCAGCTGTTGCTTCAGCTCCTGTGCCTGCGTGCTGACCTGGGTTTTCAGCCCCTCCGTATAGGGTCTCAGGTGCTCCTGCAACTTCTGCACGTTCTCCCCGATCGTCTGGCCCACGGCGTTGGCATGGGGCATGAAGCGGGCACGTAGGTCCTCTAGCTCCTTTCGAAACTCCTCCTTTGCCTTGGCTGTGTCCTTGACCAGGCGCTCATTCAGCTCTACGGCAAAGGGCACCAGCTTCTTCTGCAGGTCATCTGCATATGTGTTCATGTCCCCAAGTTTGTCCTGGAAGAGGGTACTTCAGGGAAAGGGTGGGGAGAAGCACCGTTACTCTTGGCATTAGATACACTGGCAGCACACGCAGCTTTTATGCACCTGCCTAGGCCAGGAGCGTGTCCATGGAAAGCGAGACCTCCACGTTGTCCCTGTGGCCCTCCCTGGGGTGGGTCAGGCTTTCAGGAAATCTACTAGGATTAGTGTTTCTTTAGATTTTTATCTGCAAGGCTTCTGCTGAGCCTCAGCATTTTTATCTACCCATCATGTGACTCCTTTCCTTGTGGGTAAAGACTAGGACTGGACTTTAACTCCCCCTCCCCAGCCCAGGGTCACATTGTGCAATTGTATGTCTTCCGATCTGATGTCCTTGTGTGTGTTCGGAGGATCCCCAGGCACCTCAACCTCATTTCCCCTGTTTGCACAGGCACCTGTGTCCTGGAAATCCTGTCTCACAGGACATGCCTTCTTTCTCGTTCTACCACGAGCTTGCAACGGGATGTGGCTATTTACCAAACTGGAGCACACAAAAATAGGAAGGTACTATAGGGATTGATCCCTGGGTCCAACTTCCCTGTTTACAAGGAGAGTTGAGGTCCAGAGAGGCCAGACTCCCCTAGTGAGGAAGGAAGGATCCCAAGTGCTGGTGCCCCACCTCTAAAGTCAGCTTCGGCCTCCAGGAAAGACGAGCTTTGCAGACTGAGCCCACTTACTTGAGCTGCTGGGTAATGTCCGACTTCTGGAGTTGTTCCACAGCCTCTTTGGCGTTGTTGCTGAGCTGGGTGAAGTAGTCCCACATCACAGTGGCCACCTGGTCCGCATTGACCTCAGCCCGGGTGCCTGGGCAGAGAGTGGCAAGCAAAGTCGTGAGCATGCGTCTCTCTCCCGGACCCCCTGCCTCCGCTCTGAGCTGGATGATCCTGGAGTTGGGGTAACCCAACCCATTTCTCCATCTCTGGGATAAGCCAGGGAGCATGGGTGCCAACGAGGGCCTGTTCTCCTATGAGCTGCTGAGCAAACCCAAGGTCATCCTGAGCGGCCCACTAGTTCAGGAGCTGGCTTTCTATGCTGTCCCTCCTTTGCAGCAGCAGCAGCAGCTGGAGAGCTGGGTCTACTTACCAGTGATAGCCACCAGGGCCAGGGTGAGCACCACAGCCTTCAGGAACATCCTGGGCTCCTCACTGGGCTGCGACAGCCTCGGCTACACTGGATGATGCTTCCCCGAGTGAGAAGAAATCGTTCCCCTGTGTCGCTCTGGAACTGGCTGCAGACAAAGCCAGCCCCACTTTTAAAGCCCCTGCGGCTCCCTCTCCCCGCCTCCTTCCCAGTGTGACTCCACGTTGGAAGGTGACACACTCCCAGGAGGCCTCTTGGACTTTAGTGACCTTAAGACAACGTGGAAGCTGACGGCACACAGGCAGCAGGGGGAAGCAGCCTGGTTGGGCTGGCCCCACCCTGTACAGGAGGCTGGAAAGGGTAGCCCAGAGCTTCAGGAGGGCCCAGCCTGGGAGTCAAGGGGAGTCCCTGAACAGGACTGCGGCCCCAGGGGCCCTGTTGGCGGTGCTGGGTCTGTGCCAGGCGTGGGGAACAAGGTCCAGGTCTCCTATTTCTACCCCAGGGAGACAGCCCCCTCTTGACAGCTGTCCCCAACCCAAACTGTCTCAGAGTATCAGCCACAGTCACGGCACCAGACCCATTCAGGGCTGCAACAGGCGGTGAGCTGCGACCTAGGTGTCTGTGACAGCCCTCGGGCAGGGAAGGATCCGAACCTGGGCTTGAAGGGGTTACCCCTAAGTGTGCTTTATGTCTCGTCACTGTCAAGCTGACTCACCTCAGTCCAGTTGTCTGAAGTCCCAGGCCTCAGTTTCTCCTTTGGACAGTGTAGAATTTGTTACATTAAATTATAAAGTGCTTGTGAAATGGGCAGGGGGCTTAGTCCGGAGTAAGTGCTGAAAAAAAAAAAAATGACAGTGATTTTCTGTGTAGATCAGAGCTCGGAAGATAGGAGAGAACCTGGCCCTCCAGAGAATGGCAGAGGGAGACCGTCCCTTTCTCTCAGAGGGTCACCAAGTGGAGGACTAGAGGCAGCCTTGAGAGACTGAGGCTGACCGAGGCTTGATTGCGGTCCCACTGTTCCCAGCCACACTCAAGAGCCATGCAGAATGGCCACCCCCTCTCAGACAGAAGGTGACAGGCACTGCTGTGGAAAGTGAGTTTTGTATTCTCCCACCGAAACCCCAAGTGTGTCCACACATAGAACTGCAGAAGCCATCCACAGGAAAGGTGCCAGACTACGGTCAGTGTGGGGCCTCCGTGGACCACACCAGGGACTGCATGCTGACACCCATCGTATTGTCCCATTGGCTACCACCCCCAAGACATTTTGTGAACCCAGAGCCATCAGAAGAGACCACAACTGTGCCAAGTCAGATTTGCTGTGTTGCCGTCCTTTTTTTTTTAAATGTGTCCAGATTGGCTTGTGTCCTGGGACTGAAGACAGCTGAATACCTGCCCTCCCCTGCTGGGTCCCCACTAAACTGCAATGCTCCCCACATGGCATCCTCAAGCGGCCAGGAGGGAGCTCCTTCCTGGAGCAGCCGTGCTTAGGGAGGCTTTTTTAAAATTAATTTTTTTATTTACTAATATTTGGTGGCGGTGGGTATACATGCACCCCAACACATGTGTGGAGGTCAGAGAACAACGTGAGGCAGCCTGTTCTCTCCTCCTTCCAGGTGGGTTCCAGGGAATCGAACTGATGTCATCAGGCTTGGTGACTAACCCACTGAGTCATCTTGTTGACCTCTCAGTGTTTTCTGAGTTCAGGCTCTGGAGTCTGACTCCCTGGGTTTGCATCTGAATTCCACACAGTATGGAGCGTGTGGCCTTGGGTGAGTCTCATGACCCCTCTGAGCCTGTTGGGGAGATTCTGTGAGATAATCTGGCACACAGTAGGTGCTCATTGAATATTAGCCATGCTTTGCCGCTAAAAGGCTTATCTCTCTGTGCCCTTGACTCATTGGCCCCCATCTTGCTCTGCCAAATCAGGCCTGGTCCAGCCTGTGCTGGGCCCAAAGGTCAGAACTGAAGGGGGATGAGTCACACGGGATACCTCAGGGGCAGCTCCACCTCCTGGACCTGCAGTCTGAGTACCAGGTGCTACCAGCGTGGGACAGGTCCAGAGGTAGATGCCCCTTTGTACACTCTCTGAGAAGATCTCTGTTACCTAAGCTTGTTCAAGACTGGCTGCCAGTGATTGATTGACAGATATGCATAGGGAGCTGAGTTGTCCGTGGACACAGAACTTGGCTCTGAGCTAAGAGACTGGGACACAGCATGCATACATGTGTGTCCAGCACTCATGTATGCACCGGCCCTGGCATGGAGGGTGTACTGCCTCCTGGAAGGCATAAATGACTATATTGACTTCTCCAAGACTAGGGCATATGTCGTATGCATCTGCAAATAATTTGAATAGGGGGCATGGCTAAGTGAGAACCCTATGTCTCAGCTGTTGGTGAAAAGAAGAGACCCGCCTTATAGCCAGCTGCGACAATCAGGGGACATTGGGCACAGAGGGTCAAGTGGTGTTGGCACTCACATCTCTGACCCTCAGTCTCCTTGCCTGTGTTCACCCAGAGCTCGTGGCCAGTGAGGCTGACAGCTATACAGCATCTATAGCTGCCCTTTCTATCTGCCCATACAGGATCAGAGCAGAGCCCTGGGACTCTCATGCACTCAATCTGCTCTTAGCCAAACAGAAGGAGACTGGCAGCTACTCCTGAGGGCCATCCTCAGCCCAAGCATTCAAGACTTCTCCACTGTGATGGTTAATTTTAACTGCCAGTTTGACAGAACTTTGAATCACCTGAGAGAGGGGTCACTGGGTGAAGGATCCTAGACGATACAGAATGGAGATAGCAAGCCGAGCTGATCTGAGAGCTGGTATGTCATGGCTCTTGGCTGTAAATGATATGACTAGCTGCTTCAAACTCTTGCCACCAAAGCTTCCCCACTGGTGAGCCAGGATGAACCTTCAATTCGTGTTTGTTTGTTTGTTTGTTTGTTTTTTTCAAGACAGGGTTTCTCTATGTAGCTTTGAAGCCTGTCCTGGAACTCGCTCTATAGACCACACTGACCTCGAACTCACAGAGATCCGCCTGCCTCTGCCTCCCGAGTGCTGAGATTAAAGATGTGCGCCACCATCACCCAGGCCCCCTCAGTTTGTTTTTGTCAGGATATTGTATCATAGCAACAGGAAAAGAAACTAAGATATCCACCCACTGCTGGGTCCTCTCTGGGCCTGGGTCTGTAAGTGAAGAACAGTCCTCTTCCTAGAGAACTCTAGGCCAGAAAGCCACCATGAGGCCTCCTAAGGCCAAAGCCTGATGGTTGAGAGGGCACAAGTACTTTGGAAGGGGCTGAGTCCCAGGCCCCAGGTCCCAAGACACCCTGCAGGCAGCTTAGGGTCCACACACCTAAGTTCTCTGTGCAGCTCAGTACCCCATGGCTGGGGCTCTGTATCAGCGCTTTCGGACTTTCCTGGATTCAACGGCCATGTTCCGTCCTGGGATACTGGCAGGCTTCCATACCCATACTCAGCCTATCTGCCTGTCCCAGCCGGGCCAAGGACCTGGTACCACACCCCAGCTTGGGATCTGATTCCCATTGTGCCCTTTGCTTCAGGGCAAGAAACAAGAAGAGGAAAGGGCAGAGCAGCTGGCAGCGCCACACGCAGTGCCCAATTCCTGGTTCCTCTCATCAACTCCCTTCACTCTCAGCTGCCACCAAGGGCATTTCTCAGAGGACGCTTAGGTACAAATGGCTGCTGAGGACCAGCTGAGGTGCTGGGACCCAGCTTTTCCACTGCTGGGTGGTATGTACTGAGTAGGCCTCCACCTGACTGGGCCTTTGGTTTTTGGCCATAAAATTAAGTAAGCAATGCCTAAGTCACAGGATTTGGACAACTTATATTTTAACAGAAAACAAACTATTTTTTTGTTTTGTTTTGAGACAGGGTCGCATTGAGTAGTCTAGGTAGATCCCAACACATGATCGCCTTACCTGTTTTCAGAGTGCTGGACTCAAAAGCAAACACTATCCCAGCCACCCCAGAAAACAGTCTTGCGTCAAAAGAATGAATTTCTGATAGATGAGTTTCAGGTCTCAGGCAAAGATAAGGATTAAGAATTCAGAGGGCCAAGCCAGGCTTCTTTCTCAGTCCATGCTTGAGAGAACGCTGCCTGCTAAAGGCCCTATTTGTGTGTGGATCCCTCTTCCGGTCTCTGGCCGGGCTGCCGGTGTTAGGAGGTAGGGAGACTGTGAGTCCGTCCTTCCCTGAACCAGTTGCTCTCTGTTTCTCCATTGCTCTGGGAAACATGTTCTGTCCCCATGAACAGGGTAAACAGAGGCTCTGAGCTGTTCCATTTCCGAGCACAGACCCTGTGAGTCGGTGTCAAAGGCATCAGTTACATATTTGTTTGTGTGTACGCAGGTGCATGTGCACGTGAGATATGCACGCCTGTGGAAGCCACATGTCGGCCTCGGGCATTCTTCAAGAGTGGTTTCCCTTGCTCTGTGAGACAGGATCTCTCAGTGGTATCTGGGGCTCTCTGAAGAGGCTAGGCTGGCTGGACATCCGCTCCAGGTAGCTGGCGACCTGTCCCCCACCTACCTCCCTGCTGAGATTCCCGTGGACACCTATGTTTTACATGGGTATTGGCAATTGAACTAAGGTCTTCTTGCTTTCAAGATGAGCATTTTGACCAACTGGCCTCTTTCCCCGGTCCCAAAGGTATCACTTAAACCTAGGATTTCTTGGCTCCAAAGTCTTCACATCCAAAAGACAATGTTCTCCAAGGCTGTCTATCTGGGCCGTGGCTCTCAGTGCTAGTTCAGGGGCATCTTAGTTTCAAGAAGTCTAAGGTCCCTCCTGAGAAGCTGTGTGCCCTACAGCGCCTCCTTCACCTTCTTTGTGAATGGCCTTTCCATACTTTGGGGCTCCCAGGTATTCACAGCCAGGGGTTGTGTAGGGGTCAGATATCATCCAGCCATAACCCTGCTCCCATCTCAGGATGCTATCAATGGGTCCAGAGGGCAAGATGAGGTACATGGAGGAGGGAGGGGCAAAGGCCTTGGGCTTAGCATGACCTTTGTCCTTCTCTCACCAACCCCGGCCCAGGTACAACAGAGGAGACTGCTGGGAACACATCGGTGGGTGGAGGCCTGAGGTGGAGGTCTAGGGGAGCCATGTGACCTACGCTCTGCCACCTCCCACCCCAATTCTGCCACTGCTCATCTATGGCTGCACCAGATTCCCCATTCCGTTCTATTACGAGACTTTCAAGTGGCTTCTGTGAAGAAGCCTGTCACTGGTTCCAGGCTGTCGCCTGGGCTTTGCGGGGAGAGATGGGTCTGGAAAGTCAGTGCGAAGGGCTAAAGTGAGTCTGAGGCTTGTCCCCTGAACCTTTCTCCGTCTCACAGC